CAGCATTTTCTCTTTTTTCTTTTTCTTTTCTTTTTTTAAAATTATTATTCATACATTAAATCACCATACATCATTTAGATTGTGAAGAGACTTTACGCCTTAGTCCAGCCCAGCTGAGACTATTATACACATCCTTGTCAACAGATAATAAACCTTATCTGTGTCCCACAAGTGTCTCACCTCTCCTCTCCACCCCCCAATTTCTTTTCCTATGCTCTTCCCCTCTCATACTCTCTTTCCACTTTGTCTCTAGTGTCCAATTTTTTTTATCATTATTTAACTGCAGAGTCTTTTTTATTTTTTTGTATAGAAATTTAGAGATATCGAATCCATGTGTTAGGATATGTTTGACTAAATGATCTTCAAGCTCTCTTTTTTGTTATGCTTATTTCTGAATCATAAGATTTTAAATATACGTTAATTTGAGGCTCTTAAAAGAGTACTCCAAATTTTTTAATATATGAACTAAATAACCAGCAAATTTAGTATTCTAAATAATCATATGTTTCAAAAACTTATAGCAATATTCCATTACCTAGCAGGATTTATGTTGTCATGACTGGGCAACCATGACTTTTTTTTTTCCAGAAAGGTCATGACCTTTAGCCCAGTCCTTGAATATGTTCTCTGGACTTACATAACTTTGCTCATTCAGCCTCAGGACAGATTGTCATACTCTAATTGACCTCTTGCCCAGTGGAGTGCATTCATCAAGCAGTTCTCTCCTGAAGAGTGGAATTATCCTTTGTATCTATTTAAGACAGTGATGGTCTCAATGGGGAAACTTACACAATGAGAACACTTCTTGAAACTCAAGCTTGTCAGTTTCTGTTCCAGGTCTATCCAGTGCTTTGCATTTGAATGTGGCATTATGTCAGGCAAATTTCAGTGACTAGTTTTCCTTTCTCTCCTGGTTCAGAAATCACTATACATAAAGCTGTCAGGAGGGGCTCAGGATGGGCTCAGCCGAGGTAGGTACACTAGGAGAGGTAACTGACATTGCTCCTCTCTGTGTTGTTGAAAACATTCATGACTCTGGGTCTTAGAAAACTAGGACTTAGAAATACACAGAACCCTGGAATTGGAAAGGACCTCAGAGATGTGGTTCTGTGATTTTCCACCTCTGCTCTTCAGAGATCTTAACCTTCCAGAGATACCTCAAGGGAACACAGCAGCCGGATGTGAAAGGAAGGTTGAGCATGGGTGTTGTCATCTCAGCCCTAGCTCAAACAACGTGGTAATTCTTCTAACTCTTGTAAACAACAAGGTGGTTCATTTCTTTTTGTTTAGAAACAGGGATCTACTGTTAAAAGAGATTTAAACACACTTGGTCTACTACATTATCTTCATGTGGTAGAAGAGAAAATTGAAGCCCAGAGGAGAAGTAACTTTTACCCAATGTGTCAGAAAACATTTTCTCCCAAATTTATCTCAGTGAGGTCTCAATACTAGCATTCCATTTGGTGCCCCAGGAAAGTACAAGCCAGAACTAACAAGTCCAGCATGGGGCTGCAGGGATGGGAGGATTCTTGTAGGAGAGTGTTTCCCAAGTCATCACCCACCTCATTGTACTCTCTTCCTGTAACATCAAGTTCCTCGTAATCTTCTCAAAAACTTCTTATTACAAATATTTTCCTTTCTGACCTCACCAGCTAGGATAACCTCTTCAGGGGGGGCTGGACCAGTTCCCCAACCATGCTCTGAATGCTGAATAATAGCATGGTGATAGTGGATACCCAGTAGAGTGTGACTATTTCAATGACAAGTATTGTTCCCTGCACTTAACTTGTTTGTTACTGACTACTGCAACCCCCAGCAAGGTATATATTTCTATGTCTGTTTTATAGAGATATAATTGAAAGTTTGAGAAG